ACCATTTACATTGCTCGTCCTTTATTTTTCCGATACCGGAGATCGGGAGAGCGCGACGGAGACGATTCGCAGGCAGCAGAAAAGAGGAAACCTTACCGGCGGATGATGGATCTGACAGCGGCGGACAGATTATGGCGGGCGACGTTTGCTGGCGTTACTGCTTCTTGCCGGTGGGAGGTACCTGTGAGAGGTCGGCGGCGACCGGACGGTGGCGGTGGGTTGGGTGCCGGTGTGCCGATGTACGTGAGTGTGTGTGCGTGTGTGTGTGTGTGTGTGTGTGTGTGTTTGTATGTGTGATATGTGCTGATAGTGTGTGCGTGTGTTATGTACGTGTGTGCTGTGTGTTGTGTGTGTGTTAGGTGTTGGTGTGCGTGTGTTATGTGTGTGTTACGTGTGTTGATGGTGATGTTTATTGATAATGTCTAATTTACCCTTAATGAATGTATAATTTTGATTTTTTTTCAGTCATTAGATCATTCAATTTAATGGCTATGATTTATTCTCATTTCTTTCACTGAGAACCATTCTCATGTGAACCCAACCCATACACATATAATATTTATTTATAACAAATATTAAAAACACATAATAACAGTTAGACATTTAATATAAATAAGTACATGATTAAAAAATAAAAATATTAGGCAATTATACAATTAATAACAAATAACTATACAATAATAATAATAATAATAATAATAATCACATTAGCAAATAATAATAATAATAATAAATAATAATAACAAATAATAACTCCAAATAATCACATAAGAACGGGGTATTACATGCTCGATCGGGGTCTCCTTCCCGGCAGTTTGCTGTGTGTGGCGAGCTAAAAAAAATGAAAGTCGGTTGATGATGACGACGATAGCGAGAGAGTGACGAGAGGAAACGATTTCTCTTCTCTGATGTTGACAAACGAGAGAGAGAGGTTACGAGATATTGATGAGCGAGAAGGACGAGCGTTTTTTAAAGGCGTGAAACGTGGGAGAAAAAGAAGGTATTGCAATGTTCATCAGCTTTGACGTAGGTAACAACTTGTCCACCTAATTAAAAAAGACTAATCATTCTCTATATACCCTTTTTTTTTTTTTAAAAAAAAAAAGAGTGTTTAATGGGTAGAGTGAGGTTCAAATGTAGAATATCAAGGCTTAATGAATTTATTCGAAATCGAAACAGGACAGAAAAATCGATATCCGAGAATTAACGAAAAGGCTCGAATATTAGACTACGCGATTAAACCGAAAATAGGCGAAACGAATAAATTCTAAACCAATTAAATATTAATAATTTTAACACAAATAATAAATTAAATCACATAACATATACATACATAAAGTCACATAGAAATTCAATAATAAGCAGATACCTAATACGGATAGAAACGAACAGTTAATAAAAATAAACGAGCAATTAACTAAAGCAAGGGCAAATAATCAATTATAGACAAATCAATAATTATATAAAATCTGGAAAATTCTAATAAATGAACGGGGCGCTATACCACAATTCTATAAATAGCAGTTTTTGTTTCCGAGAAAAGATTTGGAAAGTTCACCATCTTCAGCAATGGCAATATCACACGCCCCGTCATGAAACTGCTTCAACATATATAATCGCGTATCAAACTCGTCTTATTCAGGTTTCTTAAATCCAAATGCAACACTACCGACAAGGGTTATGAAACATGGTTTAGATGACAAAAATTTGTTAGGCTCGTGCCCTTGGAATTCCCTATACTGCACAACACGACTACCAAAAATAGCATCGAGTTCAACGGTTTTGATAGCAACAGTTCCAGCTTCATCCGCCAACCCCAGATGCTCCAAATCTAAAATCGGCAGACCGTCATCCAACGACTTGTCATCTTGCTCTTTGTTGAATTCGGGAATGTCAATGCGAAATGGGCCTTCCCATCCACCATATTCGCGATCAAATTCTGAATCGCGTCGGGCACGATATCTGCCTACGAAGAATGCCTCCTCGCGCCAACCCATGTCGCTGCCTTGATCATCATTGACCACGAAGACCAGGCCCCATTGCTGCATATCACAGTCGTCGTATTCAGCGAAGGACTCAGACTCGACGTGCGGAGGTTGATAATCGTCGTAGGGGTTCACCTCCGAGATTGTCTCCTAGCCGTCTTCGGCCGGACAGTGGTTGTGGAGATCTCCAGCAGGACACCCCGTCTAGACCACAACGTCCATGTACTCTGCGAATTTCCCCGCGCACGCCCTGGTTGTCGGCGTCACAGTATGTTTGCTTATCACGAACCCTGTACGAATAGTTAGACGTATGTCCCCGATCTACGCAGACAGATTTGCAATCCGACGACCCATCGTCTCGAGCCGACGAACAAACCACTAAGTCCGGCGGCTCAGGTTGTAGACGACAACGACAAACCTGTCATTTGTAGCATCTTGTCTTCGCGACAGATCGTGAATCGTCCTGACTTCTGATACCAATTGATGTATGGAATTGTACTAATGGGAATGATAAAAAAAACGAGATACTCTCTCTATAAAACTCACAAAACTCAAAAATATCATATGTATTATTCAATAATCAACCACCTCAAATAATAGATGAGGAGTCATTTAAATAAGGCTCTAATAAACCCTACTCTTTAACTTGTCCACCAATCTAAGATAAATAAAGACAATTAATAATATTAATCAATACTAATAATAATACTAGTATTATTCTACACCACTTCTTCTAATAATACCATTTGTAGTTTTTTTTTTCTCAATTGTTTATGTTCAATGATACTTGGCATGATAGGTTTGTTCATATAAGCATAATACGACAAAAAGATAATTGTTTTTAGATCTTTTTCTTCAAGCCCTTTTTTACCAGCTAAAGAAATCTGTGAATCTGTTTCAATACAACAAAGGAAACCACACGTCCGGTGATAGAATGCTTCAATTGCTTGTATTGGTTCGTATTAACGCCTATAATAGTAATCAATATTTCATAAATGGGATTGGTGATTTTTCAAATATTATTATGTTTATTCGGTTAACACCAGGCGTAAATTGTTTGATAAGTTCTGGAAGTATAAGACTATAATAATTGAAAATCAACTTCAAAAGAAAATTATATATTTTTAGAATTGATTTATTAATTTGCATCAATGTTCATCAAGCTATACCTCATTTTTCATTGGTAACTTGATCTTTTAAATTGCATCATTTTTCATCAAGTTGCACCTCGACTGGTTTAGATAAACTAATATACCATTTATCTATCGAACGTATGAGAACTATTCAGGTGTATATGGACTAAAGGAAAACATGAGGACTTTTCAGTTGCCAAAGCCTATTCAAAATTTGTGGAGGACAAGATTATAGAGCTTGAAGTGCTGAAGGCAGCAAATCTGCAGCGACATTCAGAAAAATCAGGTTGAGGAGCTGGAAACTCAAAATTAAAGGTAAACTCAAACATTTCTTGTGGAGGCGTTACTCAGATACTCTACCTATCAAAACTAAGCTAAGGAAGAGAGAGCTACTTGTTGATTGCATATGTCAGACCTGTGGAGAGAACCTTGAAATAATTGAGCACATTTTTATCCAATGCAGCAAAGCAAAAAAAAATGTGGAAAACTGCACCTGTCAGTTGGGAACTCACTCAAGTCCCTAATACAAACTTCAAGCAATAGAGGTGTGCTCTGTTAGTAAGCTGGAGGACTCAGAAGCAAAGGATATATCTGACCACCTATCTATTCTGGTGGTTATGGAAAGCTTGTAAATTGTGTGTATTCAAAAAAGAGTGGATGTCAGTACCTGTTATCGCAAAGATGGCTCAGAGTGATCGGCTCGAGTTTGCAAGAAGGAACTGCAGCACTAAATGAGAGGGAAGTGGAGGTGTATAGGTCCATTTTGGTTCAGTGGTTGTTTTTATTTTCCTGCTTCTTCTTTGTCTTTTAGCTTTTCTTGTTGTATTATTTTTGAGAATATTTAGCTTGTGTTCTCCTTGATCTTTTGCTTTGTCTTACTTGCTATTTGGCTCTTTTGTCTTGCAATGCTAAGGGTGTCAAGGCAAAAGCTGGCCTTAGCATGTGCTTAGGGTGTCATTAGTTTGGGATCTAGAGCACTCAGGTGTGAGTGACTCCGTTATTTGAGTCAGTTGACTCACGAATTGTAATCTTTGTACATTTAATGATATAATACCTTCTATCACTGCGAAAAAAAAAAGAAAGAAAGAAAAATTATGAGAACTATAATTGGTTCAAATGAAAATAAAAATGTTTATATATTTCGATAAATAAAGTAATTAGTAGATAAATCTCTCACAACTCATTATCTCTTCAACATTAAGTGACAAAATTAAATTTTTAGTCCAGTTTAACGCGATATCATTTTTAGTCCCAACATTACAATTTTTTGCTTTTTGATCCTGTAATTTGGTAGTGTGCTGCAATTTCATTCATTCGGGGATTGAAATTGCAACAAAATTTAAAATTACAAGACTTAAATTGGTAATAAAAAATTCATCCCAAAGATTTTTTATTAACAATTTAAGTCCTATAATTTAAAATTTTGTTGCAATTTTAGTCTTCTGGTTCCAGTGTGTCATTTGACACTTCGATTGTACTCTTTTGAGTTTTTTCAGTTATTAATATAATTGTCGTTTGAAAAAAAAAAGTATAGCAAAACTATATCTAACCTGCTATTCAACCTTTTCCACAAGGAAAAAAGATTCAAAACTGTGGTAAACTTCATCATAAAAATTTGAAACAATCGGCATACAAGCTAGATTTCTTTTCTTTAACTAGAAATAAAGGCATAATTCATATCATAACCACCCCCACACCACCAAAAAAAAAAAAAAAAAAAA